AACTAAAATAGAGTCTATAAAAAAAGTGCCAGAATACCATGCAGACCCTTTATTCAAGTAAGTGTATCTAGAAAAGTAAAAATAAAAAAACAGAACACAAAACCTAGACTACATGTTAAATTAATGAATTACTATTTGCCCGAATATACGAAAAATGTATTCGGGCACATAATAATTTGCTTGAGAATGCGCGGCACCCATGTTGGCCACCGGTGCGTTCTACAAATGCGTGCCACCATCTTGGAGGCGGGAAGCATGACGTCACTCGCCGATATAGGCGCCGCCATCTTGGTGTATACCTAAATTTCCTAATCCTCAAAGTTTCTGCCATCTACTCAGAAAATCGGTAATATGTAAAGAGCTGTTGGAGTTTCAAAACCCCAGCTAAGGCTGTAGAAACAATCAAAATATTATGGCTCATGACACAACCTATATGCTTTTAAGAATCAACACTTATTTACAAGCAGTGGAAAAGCCTAGGATTCAAAGAAAATGGCCTACACACAAGTCACCAATGTCAATGTTTTGGTGTACTGCCCGGTTGGGGCCATCTTGGATACACGCAAGTCAGCCTGCTAAATTGATTCTCTCCATCTCATGAAGAAGCGCCTCTGAGCGCGAAACGTCGAGACAATATTCGCTCCCCCATTCTCAACCATCCTTATTCATGTATCTATTATTCTAATCATGCTATTAATTAACCATTCTATCATGTATTCTTGAATGGGATGTTCATAGGTGGAGTGAGCAAAACCTATGTCCCTCCACTTTTTAATGAACCCAAATTAATTTTTCAATCATGTATTCAATTAATTTTTCAATCATGCTATCATGTCTTTCTTGAAATGGGCGATATAAATGGAGTGAGCGTACAAGGAGACATCTGATCAGCCGGTTGTTTTTATTACTTGTACTGTATGTGAATCAATCTTTTAAAATATTACTAAGATTAAAAATACTTTTTTTACTGCTAAATTGCTTTGGATTTGTCATTCGGTACCCAAAAACCCCCCCATCTTTTTTCTTTCCTATTTCTATTATATAAACGGCAATTGCCCCCCCTTGCCCCTCTGTAGCGACGCCACTGATGTAAAGTCAATACAACAAGGATGATTCCGATGTAAACCCCCTAAACTCTGATAGTCTAACTGAATTACTAAACACGTCTAATAATGATCTGTTGTCACATTTTACGTTAGCATTTTATCTAGCTGTACTTGGCTTATGAGAACAAGTAGCTTATAACTTACAATATCTGAAATCTTTCCAAGCCATCCTTTATTTCCATTGATTTATAGTACTAAGTGTATATTGCAAATGTATTTATGATACCAGTCACTCCGCTAAATAAACATAAATTCAGTTTTAATTGTTGAATTTTTATTTTTTTGAAATGACTTATTACAATCACATGTTATAATTCATGATATAAAGCTACTAACCTGATTACATCTACAATTATAAAAAAAAAAAAAACTGGAAATCATTTATTGTCCATTTGCTCAAAGAGTACTTTGTTAAGAGTATAAAATACAGCAAGCTATAATGGTCCTGGTAAATGGGTTCCATGGAAATATGTTTTATTTCCCTGATGAAATAGTCATGATTTTATTTATCAGATGTGCACATTGTTCCTGAGAAGGACAGTCCTGGAAGCATAACCATTCTATGACTTTAGTGAGCTATCATAAACTGATGTGTCATCCTCTTAGTTCATACCTTTGTTCAACTTGACTTGTGCACTTGCAAAATATAATAAAGCTCTTGTATGGAAAAATGCTTAGATTTTCACTTAAGTTTCTAAGAAATTAAAACTTAGATAGGAAGATGGTAACACCACTCAGCCCCTCTCTACGGAAAGTGTGTATATAAAAGCTAACACTGGGTCATTACTACTAGGTGGCACAATGATATAGGTAGAAGGGTTTGCATCCACTTGCCCAAAGAAAACAGTTATGAAGTGGTAGGTCTTATAGTTAAACCATTATGCATAGCCAGTCCACATAGTAAAAGAATAATAATTATTTTATTTCAAAATGAGAGCAATGTAGCATGGTAAAGCCTTAAGCCAGGCATAATTAATATTTCAGACATGGGTGGATGGTGGTGGCTTAAAAGACCAGCTTCTTACATTTCTTAAGAGTTCCATGACTATATTCACTATATGGCTCTGTCTCCTGAACACACACCACCACAGCCACCGGAAAGCCTAACAGTGGAGTTACTGCTCTCTTGCAGAACTCTCAGTTTTGTTCCATTGGATGGTTGGCAAATAGTAGCCTCCAGACAAAGCAGTAGCTTCTAGAATCAGCAAGGTAAGCTCTTGTGCCAATACTGTTAAGATTTGGCTCATAGCGCAGCATGAGGTTAGTATCAGAGGAAGGGTTATTTCGTGTTAGTAGTCAGGATAGCTTTTAGAGTTTAGGGTTGGATGGAGTGCATTCTAAAGCTGCACTACAGAATAATAATCAATACTTTATTCTCATTATCTGTAGAGTACAATAATAGAACAAATAGATTGACAAAAAGAAAAAAGAGGTATACATTGTTATCTTCTCCTTAAGCCTCTACTCCTCCTGAACCTGCCTGAAGAAGTCTGATAAAGTCTAAATGGCAGTTTCAGTGATGAGAGGATACATTTAAGCTCTCTTACCAAAAGCTTTATTTTTCTCAGCTGACATGTAGCTGAAAAATACATTCCTTTGCCTTCAAAAATACATTATTTTACTGATTATACTCTGTTACGTTCTCTGTGAGGCAAGTTTTTTGGTTCTAATCACTGAAACAAAAGGTTTCCAACAACCGACTAGCTATTGGTTGGTGTCAATTCATTCCCTTGAACAAAGGCTGTTTGAGGGGATTCCTGCAAACTCCTCTATGTAAAATAAGATAAAATGTGAACAAGCCTCATTGGTTTCAAAAGGTGAGCTGAACTGGAAAACAGGTAGGACACACCACAATGACTTAAACAGCCATGAGTATCCACAGTGTGATGCAAGTAGCCTCCATCTTCTGTGATTATAAATATTAGTTTGACACTAAACTCAGGAGTTACATTTTAAAATGCATTAAAGTGCCTTAACTATTAACAAAACTGTATCCTATTTGTGCATCACTCATCTGTAGATCCTCAAATCATCTCTGAATTGGTGCTGACAGTGTCCTTCCTTCTTGAGGGTGGCTACTTTTGTTCCCCATGGTCCCTGTGTGTGTTGAAAAGTAGCCAACACTCCAAGTAGACTTGTGCATTTGGATTCGGACGAACCTATAAATCAACTAAATTCCCTTGATAAAGTCTCATAATGGACTACAATCTCATGTTTAGTTTACTAATTTGTATTGAGGTTGTAGTCTATCAGTGCAGCGTTCTCGGAGTTGTGGCTACTTTAAACACATACTGGGACCATAGGGAACAAAAGTAAGCACCCTCCAGAAGGAAAAACAGTGTCAGCATAAGTTCAGAGATGATTTGAGGATCTAAAGCTGAGTGATACACAAATAAGATAAATTTTTGATAATCGTTAAGTTACTTTTTAAGATTTAACTCCTGAGTTTAGTGTTGCTTTAACTACCTCCCGGCCAGCCGCTGTGTATACACGGCCGGCCGGGAGCTTCTTGGATGTAACTGGGCGTGTATACACGTCCTGTTACATCCGCCCGCTCGGGAAACCACCGCTATTTGAAAAGAGGCAGCGATGCCGTTAATATACAAGCGATCCGCTGGCTATAGAGCTGGCGGATCACTTGTATGAGGCCCCGAGACGTGCACTTTTATGTTCAGTGCAGTTCCTTTTAATCCTCAGGAACTGTCCTGTGTGGATTCCCTGCTTCAATGATAGGGGATGGTGACTATTCGCATGGAGCAGTGTATTAGCCGCAGTTTCCTTTCTAAACGTTCTCGTAGTGAGTTTTCCTGCTTCTATCCGGATCAAAAGGTCCAGAAAAGGGATCTCCAAATTGCTGGAGTTAAACGTTAGTCTAAGATTTCGGGTGTTTATGTTTAGTGCTGAGATGAATTCCTCTAACTGTCCTGCACTGCCTTCCCATACCATTAACACGTCATCAATGTACCTGAGCCATGTTTTGGCATGACTCAGGTACAGATGGTGGTTATACACCACCTCCATCTCCCAGAACCCAAGGTGTAGGCATGCATACGCGGGTGCCCATGGGGCTCCCATAGAAGTTCCTTTACGTTGTTTATAGTATAACCCAGAGAACTGGAAGAAATTATTTGATAGGGCAAAATCTCTATGAGGAACTCATTTTGTGCCCCCATTTCTGGGTAGCTTTGATCTAGAAAGAAACTGACTGAGTGTCACAAACAACGTTGTTTCTTTTATTGTGCAGTAAGAAGCGGAAGTGTTGTTGCAAAGAAATTGATGTTTTGTAAAACATAATAAAGCCTATATTTTTATAAGATTTAATGGTCTCGGTCTGTTTAAGCAACCACTTTTTGTGATCCTCACTTGGAACACTCCCCTATCTTTTTGCATAGTAAAAAATAAAACCCGCAGTGGTGATTAAATACCACCAAAAGAAAGCTCTATCTCTCCCCAAAAAATGGTATAAAATTAATTTCAGTACAGCGTTGCATGGCGGAATTAATGTCAGTCAAAGAACTGCAGCGCTGAACACTGAAAAATGGCCTGGCCAGGAAGGGGGTCTAAACACCTGGTCTTCAAGCGGTTAAGTAGACTTTCCTTTTTAAAACTTTTCATTCTCATTAATAAAGCATTATTTGTTGTATGATTCTCTCTATAAGATATATGTGGACATTGGCTAATCTAAGTTATCATAATTAAAACAGTAAATGTTGGCATTATTTAATACTAGATAGTATTTTGTTTAAACCTTAGTTTAAGATCATCTGGTTGATTTATTTCATAAAATAAATTTTGGCAAAACCATTTATGAACCTAAATCAAATTATGAGCTAAAAAAAAAGAATGTAAATTAGAATTATAAAAATCTTTCTGTCATATGATGTCAATATTTTCTCATGCACAGGAAACAACATGATGGTGGTGGGAATGGACCAGTCCTTCAAGCCTTTTGATAATCTCATAATCAGGTAACGCTAGACCATTTACATTCAGTCCCAGCAAATGAGATACCACCTCTCGAAAATCTACCAGCTGTAAAAACATAAAGAGTTAAAACAATGTTGCAGGATAAAATAAAATAGTTCCAAAGGTGCATGTTTATTGCATGAAGGTGAAATATAAATCATACAGTATTTCTCTATCCCCCAAAGTATATTCGCTAACACATTTTTTAGTGCTCATGTATAACTATGCACTTTTGTTTTACTGCACATTTTTTTTATTTGGGTTGCCTTGACCCTACCTCATTCTTTTACAATGGATCCTTAATGAGCTTCCATGCACCAACAAACGTACCTGGCTTTATTTTTTTACCACCACACTGTAATATGACGAACGTATATTCACATGTATCTGTTGAGGTGTGTTCAAGGGATAAGTGCGTTGTTTATGTCATTATTGTGTGTGGGAGCCTTTTAACAATGAATAGGATAAGCCCATAATGCACACATTAAAATGTGCATGCATGGCTGTGCAGTTTTTACATTGCTTACATTGCTTCCTTTCTCAAAAAGGAAACCTTTTTGAGAAAGGAAGCTACCATTGCTACATCTCATTCTGCAAATGCAAGCTTCCTGGCTGTCATGTTTACCCTCTGCTTCAATACTTTGTGCCCCTTACCTGGAAAAAGTATGCAAATATGGCTGTCTGACTTTATTCTCACTTTACAAAAATGCACATTTAGTCCACATGCACATTTATGCACAATAGTATTTCATATTATTATTATTATACAGGATTTTTATAGCACCAATAGTTTGCACAGCACTTTACAATGTAAGGAATATATTACAATTACAATACAATTCAAGACAAGATGGTAAGGAGGGCCCTGCCCCCATGAGGGCTTACAATCTATTAACTATTTCATACACCAATTGCAGCACCTACTGTATGTGTCTTTCTGGAATGGTTTGATTTAAAGTGTCTACCATTGGTGACTCTACCATTGTTAGTCTTACAGACCCAGAACAAGCATGCTTTAAATGAGTTTCAGACCGTTTCAGATCTCCCTATTTCTATACTTGTTTCAGGTCAGCTACGCAGAGAAAATTGAAACCAAGACATCGACTTAACAGACAGAGAAGTATCGATCCCCAAGGAGAGTTCATCAGTGGCATCATCCATGATCCATTCATGACAGTGTCATTTTTAGTCACTCACTACCAACCACTGACAGTAATATTACTCATATGTATAGATGCTCTAATTGTTTAACTCTATTGGCAGGCATACCATCTGTCCCTGTTATTGTGAGACAGCACTGGTTTTTGAATCTTGAAACCTGGCCCAAGTAAACACATGAACTGATTAAAACATCTGACGACTATAATACATGACTCCTGTTACATTCTCATATTCTTTTTCAACCAATGTCCTTAAAGGTATAAACTATTTGTTGAATAAAGATACAGCAATGTAAAATGTTGTATGTGTCATTTGATAAATACAACATAGATGAAGATCACATCACAGATTAGAAACCATTCATGCAAAAAGTCAGAAACTAGAACAATAGTTTGGAAGGAGCAAATCAGTGATCTCTTCTTTGGAGCAAACCCCATTTAAACATTGAGAGTACTAAATAAATATCTTTACATAACAAGATAATAAGTTTGCTTCACACTCCAGGCATAGTATTTGCTCATATATAGTCGCTGAAACCTTTCATTACAAACTGCCTTAAGAGCCTTAACCACTTCAAGACCAGGTGTTTAGACCCCCTTCTGTTTTTAAATACCGGCCATTTCCCGCTCGCGCGCGCCTGACGCCGCGCGCAAGGGGGCGTGTCTGAGCGGACGTCTAGAGACGCCCGCTCAGATCGAGAGAGCTCCTGGCCGGCCGTTTTTTTACTGCGGCCGGCCCGGAGGTAGTTAACAGCTAGTAGCAACACAATCTATAATATATTATATGAAAATGATAAAATCCTTCATGTATTGAGTCTAGCAATCATATAGTACAGATGAAGGTTGCATGCTTTGTATTATACCACTGCAGCTTGCTACTGTTCTCCTTGAGCCAGAACTTACTGAACTGTACTCTTCATTGTGGCAAGGTACATTTTGTTTGTTTATTGTAACTAGTTTTTTGCATCCACCATGTTCTGCTAATGTTTTGCACGCCAGCTTATGGCCCTCAAGAGGTTCCAGATTTTATTTCAGAAGGGTTGTCGTGGCAACACAGAGTTGCCCACCACCATCCAGTGAAGCTAACCATATGAACGTCATTGCCTAAATGCGACAGCAAAACAAATTAAAGAATCCTACTAAATGGTGATATACACATCATCACTCACCACAGCACCTTCCAGTTTGTTGTTGGATTCTATTTACTAAATGTTTGTTTCTTTTTGGTTACAAAGTTCTTTCAAGTCATGTGAGATAATGTGCTGTTGTAAAGATAGCTTCAAACTCCAAATCCGATAAAAGACTATAGAAATGTCCCTCGGGGCTAGAAGGTCAGCTTTTGAAACACAAAAGTGGTGTTATTTTTTTTACCTGTGTTTCTTTTTCATAGAGGTAGTAGCTGATAGTAGTAGCTCTTGTAGAAAATGCTATAGGAGCAGTTGCAGCTCACTTCAATAGACATGAATGAAGGAGGTTGCCAAGAAGTAATGGGGTCTATTCACTCAGCTGCCAGAGGCAGCTGAGTGAACGACCGACCTGAAGCGAAGTGAGCCGAATGCTGTTCGGCTATTTACTTCAGCCTGGTACGTACATCGTTTGGTTTCGTGTGGCTTCGGGTCGGCCAAACATGCCCAGCATGTTCGGCCAACCCGAAGTGCAGAACTGGACCACTGGGCAATGGAAGAACATGGCCTGGTCTGATGAATCTCATTTTATTTTACGTCATGTGGATGGACAGGTTTGTATGTGTCACTTACCTGGGGAAGGGATGGCACCAGGATGCACTATGGGAAGAAGGCAAGCCAGCAGAAGCAATATTCTGCTGTGAAAATTTCGTCCTGCCATTCATGTGGATGTTATTTTGACAAGTACCACCTACCTAAACATTGTTGATGACCAAGTACACCCCTTAGTGGAAACGGAATTCCCTGATGGCAGTGGCCTCTTTCAGTAGGATAATGTGCCCTGCCACATTGCAAAAATGGTTTGAGGAAATCAAACGAGTTTGAGGTGTTGACTTGGCCTCCATATTCTCCAGATCTCAACCTCAATTGAGCATCTGTGGGACATGCTGAATAAACAAGTCCAATCCATTGAGGCCCCACCTCGCAACTTACAGGACTTAAGGACTTGTTCACGCCAAGTTCGGAACAGATGCAGAGCAGTTACAGAACGCATACAAAATGCATCCAAATGTAGTCCAATGGTATTTTGGGCTCTATTTCTCGCCCTATTTTTTTCTGCTCTGGAATGCACCAAAACGCATGCAAACGCATCAAAAACCCGTGGAATGCACTGTAAAACCCATTTTAGGCTAAAAAAAAACGGACCGTGGCAAAAACGTGGCAAAACACAGTGCACTGCATGTGCAAAAACTCCTGCAGATTTGGTCCGGATTTGGTGTGAACAAGGAAATGCTACTGATGGCTTGGTGCCAGATATCGCAGCTTAGCTTCAGAGGTCTAGTGGAGTCCATGCCTCGATGGGTCAGGGCTGTTTTGCCTGCAAAATGGGGACCTACTCAATATTAGGTGGGTGGTCAGAATGTTATGGCTGATTGGTGAATGTCTGCTGCAGTAGTGCACTCCAAATCTACAAACAGTTTTCAGATACAATAAGTATCGCACAGTCCAGCTAATAAAATCATTAACGCTGAATTTGAACTTCCCATCCATGTTTATATTCTGGAAGCAGTGAGGTATGTTGACTCAGTAAAATGAACATGTTTTGAGCAAGCCTTTTTTCACTGCTGTGTTTGTTTTCTCAGAAGTTATGCAATTAGCTAAACTTTTAAAAGAGATTTTCTAATTTTTAAAAATTTACACTAAACAAAATCTATTAAAATATAACTTTATATTACAGTGAGTGTCATAGAACCCAGCCAGTAAAGCTTTCTAAAATGCATTACAAGGATAACTAAACACCAGAACAAAAATATCATATATTGCAGCTTACCAGTCCTTCGATGTAGTGGCTGCATTAGTTTAAATTTGTTGAGGCTAAGAACATTTTTAGTAAGTACAGAAAACACTCTCCTTGATACTTCTTATGAGATGTACTAGAAACCAAAAAAAAATCTTATATTTGTTGTTAACACTATCAGTCCCATGAAGCCCCATGTAATGGAGAGAAACAAAGGTGGAAATGTTTTAAGTCCAGCCTGGAAGACAACCACTGATGCCTCTATAGATGCAGTTGAGGAATGAATGTAGCTGGCCATTGGAAGTGTGTTAATTTCAAGATTACCGAGTGCAGATAAAGCGAAAAAAGCCTCAGAAAAGGAAAACTAATATAGGAATCTCATTTAAGTACTGGTAAGCTGCAATGCATTACATTTTTGGGGGGGTTTAGATACAATTTAAAGTCAATGCATTGGGGTTTTGTCCATATTTTTTAGTTATGACTTGAAATTTATATAAATGTTCATTTTATTTACTTATTACATAGATTTTTTAGTGTTAATATATACTATTTATGTTTATATTAAATATTCTTATTCTAGCCAGCAGGTAGAGTTTTAACCCTTTCACTGCCAACGACATAAGCCATACGATGCTGGCAGCGGGCCCCTGTAAACAGATAGTGGTCGGGACTCTGTTTAGCCGTGTAAAGCTGACAGTTGGCTTTATTCTGGATATAATTTTGGCAGCTGAGCTGCCACCAGATGGCTTCCACGGGCAGGTAAATGGTGGACCACTGGCATACACCCCCACCTTGCTTCCCAGGCTTGCTTCAATTTGCAATAGCCAATAGCAAACTAGCTATTGCACCCGCCCACTGCTGCTGTTAATCAGCAGAGGGGACCTGCAGTCCTCCATCAGGTCCCCTCTAGTGATTGACAGCAGCAGAGGGCGTGTGCAATAGCTAGTTTGCTATTGGCTATTGCAAATTGAAATAGCCAATAGGAATCTAGCAATGCATTCCTATTTTTTTGGCCAATAGAAAACAGTTGGGCGGAGCTAGCTGTCACTGCTAGCTCCACACAATCGTTTTCTATTTATTTTTTTAGTACTTTTTAAACTATTTTTCTGTTCTGCTCGGTCCCCCAGACTTCCCTAGTGGAGTCAAACTCCTTCTGCACTGAGCATGTTCGGCCGACCCGAAGCCACACGATGTACGGCTGATTTCCGCCGATACACGGCTGGATTCAGCCGTACCAGCTTGAAGTGAATAGCCGAACAGCGTTCGGCTTACTTCGCTTCAGGTCGGTCGTTCACTCGGCTGCCTACGGGAGCTTAGTGAATAGACCCCTTAATGTCGCAAATGCTGGACGCAAATATTGTGCAGTTGAGAGATTATGCGAATTGTCAGAAAATATGTGCAGTGAGTCGCAAACATTAATATGTCAAAAGAACACTTTAAAAAAAGATGCATAACAGATATAAAATGTTTTGGTCAGTTGGGCATTAATGTGGCAGATGAGGTTTAATGTCGATAAATGCAAAGTAATGCACTTTGGAATTAAAAATAAACAAATGGGTTATACAATTATGGGTATGCCACTAGGGAAGTCAGAAATGGAGAAGGATTTGGGGGTCATTGTAGACCACAAACTGAAAGGTAGTTTGCAGTGCCAGGCTGCTGTAAACAAAGCTGGCAGGGTTTTGTCCTGTATTAAAAAGGGGATGTATTGCGGGGACAAGTCTATAATTTTGCCACTTTATAGATCATTGGTTCGACCTCATCTGGAGTACGCGGTCCAGTTCTGGTCACCAGTACTAAGAAAAGATGTCCTTGAGTTGGAAAAAGTCCAGCGGAGGGCAACCAAACTAATTAGGGGTATGGAGGACCAGAGCTACGAGACAAGGCTACTAAATGTAAACATGTTCACATTGGAGGTGAGGAGATTAAGGGCGGATATGATCTCCATGTACAAAATGTTCAATGGTGGTAGCAACATTAGCGATAAACTGTTTAAAATTAACTCCATTACAAAAACTAGAGGCCACCACCTAAAATTGGTGGAAAAAAAATTCCAGCACAAGGGGCGAAGGGGGTTCTTCACAGTAAGATCAGTTAGGGTCTGGAACTCACTGCCACAGGTGGTGATTTCAGCAAATAATGTGGAATTTTGAACGATTTCTTAAGGGACCGTAATATTACTGGGTACAAGTAGTACTACTAAGAATGAGATCCTAATAGGTTGGACTTGATGGACTAATGTCTTTATTCAACCTCAAATACTATGTAACTATGTAGCATGATATTTTGGTCTTAAAGTTTTATCATAAACACTTTAATTAACTCCCCCATTGTATTTAGGCAATGGACACACCCCTGCCATGCCCCCAGTTATTTAGACCATTAAGAATTGATATGCCAAGAATGACTGGTTAAACCGAGAAATGTTTTTTTCACCATTACTTTTCCTTTATAATGGCTTTTCAAAATAGCAAACAGGATAATTATTAGATAAGATGAAGGTTTTGGTACAGAATAACGTGAATAGAACCTTTTCACAGATATATGTACATCAAACTAAAAAGGGGAAATTGAGATGGGGATTTGGTTCCAAATGGGGGACAGTTGGGATGTACAGTATGTCCTACAATATGTCTGACACAACAAAAAACAATGGGGGAATTTATCAAAATTAGAGCAAACAGAATCTGGAGCAGTTGCCCATGTTTTAAATGTGAAAGATAAAAGCTGATTGGTTACTATGGGCAACTGCTTCAGATCTTGTCTGCTCCCTTCTCCGTTTTTATCATGGCCAAGCATTGTTTATTTGATTGTTTTCCAACTGTAGAACCAAATATCTATTGTGTATTTTTCTAATGTTGTTTTTTTTTTCTTTCTGAATGTCCTTTTCCTAACCATTTTCCTTATATAAAGAAGACATTTAGAAAGAGTCTGGATGGATAGGACATATATCAGGCTGATATTGCTGTCTGTGTTGATGTCTTAGCAGCTGGTGCGGTCAGGGCAAGAAGTAAAGGGAAATCTATCCAGTGGGGACACAAACATATATAAAAATGTCTCCTTAGTAAAGTGGGTAGGATATAAAACCTCTGTCAGACTTCCAATTACTCTCAGGGACCCCAGAGGGGAGATCAACCTTACATCTTGTCCCAGTGATTAATGCTTCTAGAACAGAAATTTAGGGTAAATCTCTCCAACTGAACACAGACAACACTAAGAAAGATGTTTTAGCTCTTATCCACTCAATCCATAACTGCAAAAATAGGTCTTGACTGAATCTCTAATTTTACCCCTTACTGCCTGCCCTTTAAGTGGACCATTATGCAGAAGACTGGTGTGAGGGGCTCCTGATCATGCTGATCTCTGATTGGCTGCATAGTGATGATTTAATCAATAGCCCATCATACCGGCTCCTAATCATCAGTATTTGACTGTGTTCTGGGTGTACTGATTGAGTACGCCCGCAGAACAATTAAGTGATGCATATATGTGGCAGCCTGGCCTTCAGGTCTACCATCTGCGCTGGACCACATGTGTGAGGCTGGCAGAAAGAGATTAACCAGAGATTTATCCTAAAAATTATTTAAAGGTTACCAAATTCTACAAACAATACAGTAAATGCATTAATAGTAAATATATTTAAATGTTTTATATATATATATACATATATATTCATACATACTGTATACATACTGTATATATATATATTCATACACACACAAATACATTACCTGTTTCTCCCGCCTGGAAACTTCTTCTAAGGTCTTCTTAAGTGTCTTCAGTTCACTGGTGACCACGTCTATGTAGTTGCCTGTTTTCTCTTTTTCCTCTTTTGCTTCTCGTTCCGTAAAGTCGAGCTCTGATTTTACAGACAGCAACTTCTTTGCAGTCTTGCCTTTATCTTTCTCAAGATGTTCAACAGATTTGTTCAGCTGTTCAATAGTTTTGTGTTGTTCCAGTGTTTTAATCTAAAGAGACATATACACTTGAATACAACCTTTATTTATACTGCAGATGCAGAATGCAAAAATTCCACAAGGAAACATAAAACCTGTGATATATTTGTTGACCCAAGATGATACTTTACAATCAGCCGATCACTTCTCTGTTAATTTACCTTTAGTACGTATACTATTATCTATACATCTATGTTAACTATATTGTACAGAAAGCAAAATTACACAGGAACTCATCACAAGCTAGTCTTCTTTTTGTACTGAGGTTATCCTGACCTCTAGTGTTCTATGTATGGATTTCATGCTAGAAGTAGCACAGTATTAGTAAATGATTATTCCTTTTAGACTACAGTCTCCTTTTACAGGTTCATCCAGCAGTTATGAGACATAGGTAGAAGTACAGATGTGACAAGGTGAGGGCTGAGTTGGTAGCAAGGTACAACTAAATATTACGTGTGGCATCTTGCATAACAACATACAAGCAAGCGTACCAAATAAACAAGGTAAGGAGCAAAGTGCACTGCCCAAAGTGTAATACTGCAGAGCAGCCAGACCAGTACAAGATAGATTAGAGCTAGCTGCTGCGGATTTTTCACTTCGAGCCATGTACTTTGGTTATGGCAATGTTTTCATAAGTAAGCCAAATAACCCTTGAAAATTTAACAAAGAAACATCCTGTCCTGCCAAAAGAAAATAATTCTGATGATGTCTAAATGATAATTAATAATGGGAAACCATTAACAACTGCCTGAATAATCTGTTTTTGAATAAATAATGCATGATAATTTGGTAAACAGATGCCCAAATTATCTAGTAGTGGTTAGTCACATGGGCGTTTGTCTCTGAAGGTTCTCATTCATCTAGGTCATGGTATATCTAGTAGTGGTTAGTCACATTCAACTGGACTTGTTCTGTAATGCTGAAAACATTTCCAACTCTGATCAGATTTTAGAACAATCTGGGCTTTTGTCTCTGAAGGTTCTCATTCATCCAGGTCATGGTATATCTGGTAGTGGTTAATCACATTCAACTGGACTTGTTCTGTAATGCTGAAAACATTTCCAACTCTGATCAGATTATAGAACAATCTGGGCATTTGTCTCTGAAGGTTCTCGTTCATCCAGGTCATGGTAATTTAGTAGTAGTTAGTCACCTTCAGCTGTGATTTGTAGTTGCACCGCAGCTGGAGGGCCAGAGTTTACTTACCCCTGCTCTAAAATAATATGCATATGTATAGGTATCCTCACCTCATATGATGATACCTGGGCCTCCTAGTCGATAGCTCAGACACCAGATTCTGTATTGTGGGATTGAAGCAGAGGTGTGCCTAAACTCCATAAACTGCGAAAACTGCTGGAGATGCAAGGCAACTTTCTATATTATGCACCAAGTGATTATGCTGTTAGCTATGTCATTTTATGTTGCTTATAGGTTTACTTTACTTTTTTTCAAACAAACTTTATTACGTTTTTCGGTTACTCCCAGGAGAGGAATAACCTTTTTACCACATGAAGTATAGTTAAGACAATTTGGGGTTACTCACAGCAACCCCAAAATTTAAACCAAAGATTCTAACTTTCTAACATTCCCAGTCTGGTTGCCACATCTACAATAGTTATCTTATTCTGTACTTGATATATCTTCATAAGGATGGTGTAGGCAAATCATGGAATACATCACCACTGCATATTAAGGCACCTCCAGGACCCCGAGGCCATTTGCCAGTTTGGCTTTTAGATACCACTCGGAGTATATAAAGGGTTGCATTATTTGAGCTAACTCCGATCTATCGGAGGTTACAGCCACAAAGTATTTCCAACGCTTGGAAAATCTAGAAGTTAGTGCGTCAATGTGCATTTCGGTTTCCAGTTTTGCCATAAGTTTACTTTTAGGAGACATTGTCACTTTTACTATTCAAGGCCTGAGCACTGCATCTTGGGATGAGAACATGTATTCCTCCATACAAAGAGGAGTAAGTAGTGGAGAGAAATCACAGGAGGTGAATATCAGTGGGTTAGGGGGAGGGTAGTTTTACACAGACAATATGGGCTATATCTATAAGGGTAGCCAGGAGGATGTCATTTGCATGGCACTAGTGGCTCTAGATGGCGCTGACAAGTATAGGAAATTCCTATACTCTTCAGCACCATCTAGGGGCGCTAGTTCCGTGCGGATTTTTATAAACAAAGCCCTATCACTCTGCCCATTGTGGGCCTGAGCACTGCATCATAGAGAGAGTTTGGGGCTCTACACAGACACTGTCACTTTGTCCTTGTTGCTTCCATAAATAAACCATTTGTAAAAGTAAATATAACAATCCTGATAGGAGAGATACAATGAGGTACGCACCTTTAACTCATTAGTGTCTGCAAGTCTGGATTTTAGTTCAGTGACTGATTGCTGAGCTGCACCTAATTCTTTCTGCATTCTCTCCACCTTCTTCTGCAAAGTCCGGACTGTCAGGTTGGCCTCATCTCTCTCCACTGCCAGAGCTGTGCGGACTTGGTTTTCTTCTTCTAACTGGGCAATTTTTTTCCTCAGGAGTTCCATGTGAAGTTCTTTGCTTTCATACTTTTCCTTCTGGGCTTTTAACTGAAGAAGATTTAGTATATCAGCAAATGAAGCATTAATATGATGTTCCATAAATCGCAGCAATTAAATTACTATAAACAATTTTTTTGTATATGATTTACCTTGGTCACATGGCACTCCCAACATCATGCATGCGGGCCTATCTTATGTATTGACAGAGGAAACCTTCTTCTTTACACCCCAGAATGTGCACTCAGCTTGTATCGCTTGGGGTCCCGTGACCCAAAAAATAAAACAGGTTGAATGTATGTAATGTACTACTGCCTTATAGCCACTAGATGGAGCTGAGAAGCACAGGAAATACATACTTATTTTCTATGCTACTGAGCTACATCTAGTGTCCAAAATGCAGTATTACATTAAATATATTCAACCTGAAAAAAATATACATCTAAGAGCCTTTGTTTTTGCGTCTATTTGCACTGAAAAATTTGTGGGGTGAATGCCTCTACAATTTGGTTATAGATAGACCACTTTAATTTGTTTTCAACTAATAAAAAGGCTTATCTTAATCCAGTGGCAACTTATTGCCCCACAGGCTCTGGATACCACATATAACATATCCCCACTGAACAATGTTGTTAAACCATTATTCAAATAAATATTTAATCACATTTCTATTGTTACCAGTTTGCGCTGAAGCACTTTGCCTACGCTATACTGAATAAAACAAACACATTTTTAAAAGTGTTTTGCAGTTGATGTATTTACCACTTGCTGACCGGGGTGCTTATACCCCCTTCCTGACCAGGCCATTTTTCTGTATTCAGCGCTGCAGTACTTTGACTGACATTAATTCCATCATGCATCGCTGTACTGAAATTAATTTTATACCATTTTTTGGGGACAGATAGAGCTTTCTTTTGGTGGTATTTAATCACCACTACAGGTTTGTTTTTTTACTGTATAATAAAAAAAAGTAGGGCTGTTACTGATTAAAATTCTCGTGTTCGATTAATCGAAATATTTTTTAATTGATTAATTTCGATTAATTATAATGCACAACTACATTGGCCTATACACATACAGCACAGCAAAGAAGTAATAAAATGAACTAGGATCACACTAATCCAGCACGTTATTAATCTCACGTGCCCCACTCAATATGGCTGCCGCTTGAGTGGGGCAACTCAGAATAATAACGTGCTGGATTAGTGTGATCCTAGTTAATTTTATTACTTCATTGCTGTGCTGTATGTGTATAGGCCAATGCCTTGGCTGGCGCTCATGCAGAAAGTTTCTTGGGCAAACATACCAGCCCAAGTGGCTCTGTCCGCTAACGAAAGAAAGGGGGGAAGAATGTTGGCGGGTTTTTTTTATTATTATTGCTTTGATATGTGATTTTTTATTTTTTTATTTTTTGTAACAAATTTTTTTAAACCTTTTTTTTTTTTCACTGAACTTTATTGCTATCACATAGGGAGAAAGCAAGCTCCCTATGTGATAGCCAATTTGCAGTGACAGGTCCTCTTAAGACCCCTAATGTGACCTAGAGACCCCCAGAGAAGCTGATGAAGCAGAGACCTGCTTCACCAGCTTCTCTCCGGTTTCTGTACCGGAGAGTGACACTGAATGCAGGCAGTGATGTAATACACATCACTGCCTGCATTCAGAAGAAGAGAGGAGATCAAACGGAGCTCGTGTACTGAGCTGCGTTTGATCTCCGGCCGCAGAGCTGCTGTGCTGGTCCCGGGCTCACAACCGGAACAGCGGAGCCCGGGATCGCCAGCAGCGGCGGCGACGGAGGGGGGGGCCCGCACACCCGACCGGATATTACAAGTGATCGGGCATCTCTACAGACGCCCGAACGATTGTATGTAAACAGCCATCGCTGGCTGTTTATATTCAAAGCCGGTAGTTAAAGGCAAATAGGATTTTTCCAGGGGAAATGTTCCTTAGCATAGTAAAAGAGGCGAAGCTCTGCTGACATCCATCATCTAATTTGTGCAAGCAAAAATACTGTTTTCTTTTTTGTTTTGTTTTTCTCGTGATTGGGTATTCTTTGCAAAGTGCATTTTCACCTCATTCACTAAACTAAGGGAAAATTCCCTTGAAAAGTGAACAGCCTGTTTGTCTTTAGTAAATCAACCCCATTGCTTACTGGTCTGGGGGATATCTTTCTGTTCTTGTTACCATGTAAGATTTGTTCTGTCTGCTAAGACAACCTAGAGAACATAAAGTGGAAAATATGTATTCTATTGATTTATACCATTCGCTTTGCTCTTCATCAGCTACAATGGTTCTATGACACTTTTCTGTCAACCGTGTGTAAAAATAGGATATCAACAAGACACTGTACAGCTATGAAAAAAATATATATATACATTTTTGCATTCATTTGCGTGATTTGTGTTATATAGTTTAGAATTTAAAAACAGAAAGTATCTATAATACCAATACAACTATGGCAAATCCACTGATTGTTGCTTCATGGAGAGGGAAGTAGGAAGGACTTGCGTTCCTCAGTGGAAGATTTGCAGCGGAAGAGGATGACAATTAAACATATTTCAAATTTTTGGTAAAAATAAACTTGATGTAAACTTGCATATGTGTTGTGTTCTTCCTTATGAGTAAAACAGAACATTGTTCTACTGACAAGGGAGACAAGCAAACATTGATAACAGTCTATCAAACTGACACTCACTGCATTGTTTAGAATTTGAAAGAATTCTATGCATTAAAGTGCATGTAAACCCTAACAAAGCTTCTTTTATTTTTTACTTTTGGTCTCTTAAATATACAATTGAATGTGTTTTGTTATCTGTTAGATACATGCAAAAAGTACCTGTTGATCTTGCCAAAAATCTTGTGAGCTAATAACTTTCTACCAATTCTGCCTCTGCTGCAGTGTTCTCAGTTATATCTGCATACTACAAAACAGCTGCCTTTATGTTATGGAGAAGAAGGCAGAGGTATATGTTTTTTAGTCCTGTCCTAGCATGGCAACACTGCTTCTCCTAAGATAAAGTACAGTGAGAGTTGTCACCCTAGGACACACATGTGTGTTACTGGAAAGATCCCGCAGAGAAAATAATGAAAAAAAAGCCTAGAAAAGGAAGACATTTGGTCACCATATTTAAGTAGTATTAAACACTCAATTTTTTTAAATAATGAATCCAGATCAAACCAATATACATTGTCCAGCAAAGTATTTCTGTACATTTTTGCCCAAACACAGTCATCATGTTTCAGAAAAGGTGACTTCAACTCTCTCAGCTTGGCTTCCCTAGATTTCCTGTCCAGTAGAAGATCGCAAGGGACAATACAGTCTCTAATACCTATCCATCTACTAGCTTGGAGAAGGAAGGATCACAAAGAAGGTAGGAGTTGGGAGAAGTTTGTTCTGCTGTGATATCTTACTAGTACAAGGGTGGCTCCACGGGACCATGCAAGGGAAAGGAGCCACCCTAAAACATGATAACAGGGCCAGTGCTCAGAGGACCAGCTGATTCTGCAGGAAGTGAAAACTTTTAAACATCAAGGAGCATAGGCGTGGGCACAGGGTATGCCGGGTGTACCTGGGCACACCCAAATCACCCCAAGTGCAACAATGAAACTGCAACAGCAGGCGCCGTGTTTTTAGTCACTGAGCCAGTGGCAGATCAGAAAGATCTCTTTGTGAACGGCTCAGCAATACAGAGCACACCAGCAATTGGCTCGGAGATACAGAGCACAGCAGCACTTGGCTCGGTGATCTAGAGCACAGCAGCACTCCCACGCAGCTACCAAGGCACTGCGGAGTGTAATCAGAGCTGTTATCTGAGGAATGTAAGTGGCTCATCGACACAGAGCACAGCAGCAGTTGCCACTTACATTCCTCAGATAACAGCTCTGATAACACTCTGCAGTGCCTAGGTAGCTGCGTGGGAGCGTGACTGTGGCTTCCCATCCTACCAGGATGCCTCAAGTCTGTGTATGTATGAT